TTTTTATGCCCCCCCCCCCCCCCATTTGAAGAAGGAAGGGCATATTACTTTGCTGCTATCTGTCGTCGGTCTGTGGGTCCATTTGTTTCCGTTCATTGTAATCACAAGTGTTCCACATACTGAAATGAAATTTGGTATACAGGTATTATTGATTATTGTTTTCAAACTCATTCATTATTTTGCGATGAAGTAAAATAAAATTCTCTGATGGTACTTATTCTATGCATTTAAAGGAAGTCATTTATCTTGGGAAAATCATCACTGGAAAAGGTATATTGTAAAGCATATGTTCATGTTCATTGCCTATGTTTTTTTTAAATAGCAAATGTATTTTGCATATATTTTTTGCTCGCCTGACCCCTGCACCCTCACCTCTCACCACTGTAGGATCGATCCCGATCATGATCATTTTTCTGTAGCACACTAAGCATACATATTCTTGATGTAGAGTATTTGTTGATTCACTGGTATATTTTCCATTTTACGATCTTGTTCTGAGAGTACATTTCTAAATTTAAATTCAAACTTCTTTCTCGGCAGTAAATCATATTAATTATACTTTCCAAAAACTATACATACAAAGCATACTCGAAGTATTTAAACTGTAAATTTTATTTTTAAAATACATTAGATATGCCATTAAGAATGAGGAAAATTGCAAGAAAGTTCACTAGAATTGAAATGTATAAGATCCAAGAATCCAGTTTTATCAGAAAGGGGAGGGGGTCGCTGATAAAATTTCTCACCAGTAAAGATCTGTTAGAATTGACAAATAATAATGTTGAATATCATATATTTACAAATAATAATGCATGACAAGATCCCGGATTGGTGGATAGGGGTGATTTTTTCTATCATGTAAGGTTGCAGCTGCAACGCTTACATATTATGTAATGATACACTAATGTGTATTATTAGTTGTCGATATTTGCTTGTTTCATTAAGTGTCAGTGTTGCTCTGCATTTGTGACGCTTAATAATATAATTCTATCATTAAGCGGCGATTTAGCATAAGCGGTTGAGAATGCAATAATATATGGCATTAAGCGTTGTAATTGCAACGCTTAATGCTATTTGTATCATTAATAAGCGGCGTTTTATCATTAGAGGTTGCTACAAACCATCTTTTATCCGCAATTCCTCTCATACCAATTAATGAAATCTGATGACACTTTCACAAATCTTGATTACATGTTGCCATTATCCACCTCCTATTTATCTTTTTTTATCTAAGAGTATTAAGTGGATTTAGTCAAATAATAGTTGAATATCATAATAAATCAATAAAAAAGATTATATAATCTGATGGATAGTTTTAAAGATTGTATATATTTTTTCTTTATATACGTGCATGGTGAAAATAACTCTTTTGTTATATTAAAAAAAAAAAAAAAAAGATGGACCAGATACTGTTGAGATATTTCCGAATTTTTCCACAAGTCTCAGTATCCATGGCAACAGTAGTTTTGGTCCTGTCAACTGCAGTGCTTGCTGCAATCCTCCATGTAATATATATTGGGAGGGAATCGATCCAATGGGAAGAATATTAATCACAAACATTTCTGGAATGACACTTCCAATTCAACATATACATGTACACAGAGAAGAAGTGAAGGCGTATCAATGCGTGGCTGAAGGACGGTATAGTAACACACAGGGCCATATAACAACCTTCAGGGATGTTGATCTTAATATTCAATGTAAGACTATTAAATAACTTGTTAGGAAAACCAATTGTTTAATCGTTTTGCTCGTATTAAGGTCTTCTCTCCTGATTTTATTTTTTTTTTATCAAAAAACAAAACTCCTTTCAAAGATTTCTATTACATTCTGTTGTTTACTATTAATTCTGCACTATTTATTGGACAAAGAATAAATTACAAAATAAACAGTTCAGTGCCACCAGGAAATTAAATACGAATTGTGAAAAATATGTATAATAGAAAGGGGGAAATCTACAAAAAAGGAAACGACAATAAAGATCTACAGAATGAGGGATTATACAGGAAAACCCGGTATAACCTTCACACATAATAAGTCTGAAACTAGTGCAAAATATCAATGAGAAACAAAAACAAAATGAGAAAGTTTAAGCTTTCTTTTAATTTGATTCGTTTTTCAGTAAATTTTATGATTTTTCGTATCAATCACTCCTTCAACATTTCAATTTTAATTGTTATATCAGAACAACTATGGTATTTTTTACCATGAATATTTTGTAAGAATGAAGATTTTAATGCAATAATTTGTAATGTAAAGTGCTCTTTACATTCGAATCTTGGTTCCACAAGGAATAAATTGGTGACAAAGAATTGCAAAAACAAAATCAACCGGTAACCAGGCAATGATCAATGTTTGCTTTTATCTAACTATTTCAGATCTAACATCACCCGTATTCTTAGCGTCAGTCAATTGAATAATTGAAAATGGACATATCATAGACATGGAGGAAATGGATATTGTAACATTGAACTGTACAGCTAATGGAAATCCCGAGCCCGAAGTTGATATCGAAACACAACAAGGGAACAAAGTCAGGATGCTTGGGCACAGATCAAAGAAGTCGTTTACATATACCTTTCTGGGTGAAATGCAATGTACTGTTACAACGACATATACATGTACTGCTAAAATCAAGGAATTAACGACAGTTTTACTGAAACAAAAATATATGTAAAATGCAAGTTTGTAATTTTATACATACTTTCTGTAGTTTTTAACTTTTTATCCCCCTCCCCCCCCCCCCTCTCTCTCTCTCTTTTCAGTAAAACAAAGTTAAGCATATAGCAAATACGGTTCTAATAATTTAACGCCTTAACATTGCAGAAGTCATTTTCTATTCCCGAAGAGATTTAAAATACTGTAAACCTAACAGGTATAATGAATTACATGCATTGTTTTGACAAGGCAACCGTGTTTGTTCCTGGCAATTTTAGCGTGTTATACTGTTTTCACAGATTTTTCAATGTTTTATGTTTCACGACCTCCCGATCACGAGCGCTCTACCGACTGAGCCACCGTGAACGGTTATTTGTATGGAAAATATGGACATAACGAAGCGTATTCAAGGTCAGAAGTCAATAAAACAATACAAAATAGGAGCAGTGCAAACACGGACCTCAAAACATCAGAGGTGGGATCAGTTATCGTAAAGTAGTGAGCATCCTCTGCCGACCGGTCACAACCGCTGTGTTTTCAATGTCATGATTGCGAAGTAACAGGAAAACCCGTCGTCAATCAGTGAATAAAGAATGGACTAACTATTAGTATTTGACTCAATACATCTAATAAATTGTATATGCTGGCTGTATTGACTATAGAACTTACGAAATTTTCACTTTAAACGAAACTCCTGGTATTCTTGTCACATCAACTTAAATTGTCAATAGTTTACCTTGCTTAAGAAATTGCTTTTTACGCAGAACATGCACTTGCGTATTGAATCAACTGAGACTGGTTGCCGGTGGGCAGGGGAAGTTCACTCCTCCATGGCATCTGATCCTACATCCGATGTTTTGGAGGTCAGTGTTTGCTATGCTCCTATTTTGTATTGTTTCATGGACTTTTGATCTTGAATACTGTTCGTTATCTCCAGATGTTTCATTCCAAAATAGTCAACAACGAAAACATATTGAATGTAACGGTTAACGTGAAAGTCAAGATTAAGATGTAAAAATTATAGCATATTCTGTATCTTGTCAAAGGTAATGCACATTTTATATATGAAAGCTCTGTGGCAACGCACTTTGAAAAAATTTCGCACTTTGAAAAATTTTTTCAAAGTGCGTTAAAATTGGGACAAAAGCAACGCACTTTGAAAAAATTTTTCAAAGTGCGTTAAATTTTGGACACACTCAACGCACTTTGAAAAAATATTTCAAAGTGCGTTGAGAGTGTACATCAACATTTTTTACCATGTGAACATTTAACGCACTTTGAAAAAAAATATGTATAAAACAAAAAACTCTATACTTAGATTTTAGTAATTGAGAGAATCAACTTTTATTAATTGTATCTTTCGAAAAAATTTTTGATTTACATGTATTCATTTAACCTCATTGGGAACAAGGAGAAGGCAAGGAGAACCTCCCGGTACCAATGCTTATGCAACACCAAAATATATACCGGTATATATTTGCATAACTGGTATGACGTTGAAAACTTTAAATAAATTTTGGTTTACATATATAAAATGCATGCAAACTGCAAAACTAAAGTAAAACATTTAGAGATATATAATTTTCAAAGTATGGAAAAATCAAAATCGCTCACTTTCACATCCTGTAGTGACCTCATCACCAAAGAGTTATCAAACAGGTTCAATTATTTATCATACCCAAGATTTGCAAGAATATTGCCCAAGCCATACATATTTTTTCAAAGTGCGTTGATTTGGTCCCAAATTTAACGCACTTTGAAATTTTTTTTCAAAGTGCGTAATTTTTCAAAGTGCGTTGTAACAAAGCTCTAACTTTTCTCCATATAATGATATGAGCAAAGACTTTTTTATTGAAAATTTGTCGCGGGTATTGCACTTGATAGATATGAAAGCTTTAATATACATGAGTGAAATTCCTTTCTCTCCTCCTTTAAAATAAGTTACCAATTTAAATATTGTTTTTTTTAAAGTAGGTCAAAATTTCAAGATCAAGGTCAATGGATTAAAAATCTTAGCATTTTTAGAAGGTCTCTTTGCAAATAACGTACATGGTATATCTAAATATGAAATTCCTCTCTCCTTTTATTCAATAATTATGACCAAGTTTATTTTTTTGTGATAGACAGACTAATAGACTGACAACAAGAGAATGGAATTTAATTTTCCCTCATTTAAGCGAAAGCGGGGTACCAAAAAATTGTGTTAGAAGCTTAAGAGCTTCCCTTGTCATATGAACTCGAAGCCTTATTTATGACACAAGACTTTCGAAGCAAAACTAACAAATGGTAATTAATTTGATTTTTAAAAAAGGTAAAATTTGATAAATAATAACTAGTGTACGTATTTTGCATCTATTTTTATTTCAAATCAAAGACTTCAAATAACTAGTTTTCTTGAAATCCAAAGACATCTTCTATACAGCACGTGCATCCTGGACGACAGTCAAAACAACACCCAGGAAAGAAATCTGCAATAGGCGAAATATTCATCAATTTATTTACAAAAAAAAAATGTTAACATCTCTATTATAAAATCTTTTACAATGCTTAATTAATGCATTGAGGATTGCAGTCCGCCCAATCAGTGTCTTATATTTGAATCCACATTTTCAAAATTGTATTGTAAATGTGTACTGTTATGTCTCTCAAGATACCAAGAAAAAAAATGAAATACTTTTGTTATAATAAAAAGTTAGATTAGAAATTGTATAAATTGGATCAAATTTAAGATCAGTGTCATGAAGTCAAATAAAATCCTATTCGGAAGGTCTAATAATATTAAATACACAAATGAGAAAGTATGAAATCCTTGCTTTTTCTGGAGCAAATGTAACAGTCTAAATTAGTCGTTTTAATTAAAAGTGCCAGTAATTTTGGTTGATGTCACGAAATCTGTATAGAGATTTATATATTTTCTTTCATTTAAATGTGATCAGGAAATGTACAAATCTTTCAAAAGAACATCAGATTTAATTTCGAGGTCATGAACACAAGATAGGAAAATCCATTTATTTATTAATCTGGAAAGTTCTTGTTACAAGCAAGTGTTTGTCAACTATGATTAGAATATATTGTCTCGTTTGAAAATTTTTATGTATCAAAATTTGAAAAGTTTGACGAACGTCAATGGATGCTGTCACAATTAAGATAAGTAGCCATAAATAATTCACATTTTAAATCAAATGTGTTTCAAGTAAAGGTTATAACCAATATCTTTTTTTTTAAATGTCAAATCCTGGGTGATCAAATTTTATTGTATATATGGAATAAAGACATACAGGAAATATGTGAAATAGGAAAGTACCCTCTATTTGAAAAGTTGTTACAATGGACAAATTTGCTGTGTCAGAAAGGTGAACAAACATACAGACTGACAATTAGGTAGTTTTAATGCCCCCTCTCTTTGGCAAAATCGAGGGAAAAACATTGCGGATGATCATCAGCAAATATGTTTATTGTACGGAGGAGTATAAAAAAATTGGTGGGCTAACGCCATAAAATTAAAACGGCATAAGGTACACCGAGGAATTTTAAAATAACTAGTTAGCATCATTTTTCTATCTATAGAATAAACCAAAAATTATCAATTTTGTTAATGAAAAAATGAGAATATTTTTTAAGAAACGGTATGCCCAGGCTGTGCAGCCTCGAACACAACGTTTTTTTTTTAGACCCAAGCGCAACTGAAAAAAACAGTCTTTTGATACGAATCTATGACAACCAAAAATCCCAATAATTGAGGTAGGTTTTGGCACACTATTTCTGCATAAACTATAGAATTTTTACCTCTTTCTCGGAGTTCTATGAAATTTCGTCGTAAATTTTACATGACGAGTTTAAACAAATAAGGCTTTGAAAATGGCCTTCAAAAGGGAGAGGCGTTTCTTTTTCCAACATTCTATAACGTTTTGCCTGTGAAGAAAAAAACGGTATAGACAGAGGGAATGTTTAAACAGCTGGCTACGGAAAAAATGATGTTCATCCAGAGTAGTTGTTTTGAATGCCATAACTGATTGAGAGAGAAATGGAAAGTACAATTAATGCTGATTTGTAATCAAGGCGTGAAAAATAAATAAAATAAAAATAAAATAAATCACTTAAAAATGACGTTGAACATGTCTTGAAGATATTGAGCTAAAAAAAGCAAAATGTGCTGCCACTATCATGAGTATAAATCCCTTTGCAATATAACTTGCATTGAACACCACTGTTCATTGCATTGTAAAGTCCTGTGATCAAGATGGGTTTTCTCAGCTCCGGGGAATCTCATCAAAGTAAGTATGAGGTGGAAGAAGCGGACATTGAAAAACTATGCCGTTTTCGGACGTCATGAAACTAATCGGCTAATGTGGTTTTATTTTTATAATAATTAGACAAATAATAAACGTATCAGACTAAAAATTTCATCATTTCTTTTTATGGCTGATTTTTGTTCCTTATAAATTTTGAAAGCACAGGCTATTTATTACCAATTTTATAGCCTCGGTCCATGAACTTTTTGATAATCCCTCATACAAAGGATTATTAAAAAGGAGTTGAAGTAGCATTACTTTTTCAATGAATCTGCATACAAACACGCGACAGTGTCACTTGTCTGGAGAATGTACGGACAATGTATCAATCAAATACTAAAACAGGCATCGCATACAAGTTAACGGCCTTTTATTTAATTGCAAATGATATCTTATTTGAGAACAAAAGACATTTTTCCTTGTACAAAATGTGATTTTATCAGCCTCTCACTGACATTGACAAGTGCATTGCGATCGATGCATCGTTTATATACTGTTGTATGGGATTTAACAAACGACAAAACTGCATGTAATAATAAGTTAGTATGTAGTATACAGCTATCCAGCTGTTTGAAATAGCAATTAATTTCATTTTGTGGTATTTTGAAGACCTTATATTATGTGTGACGTTATAGTAAACATTTCCCGTACAAATTAGGCCCCGCCTCCTTACTTTAATCTTAACTGTGCTGCGTATCTGGAGTATCTAAAACATTTCTGAAACTGTGGACAGAAGATTAAAATGTGGCTTTCGGGATTCTCTAGATGTTTTAAAATAACATTAATTACTGCTATGACTATTAGAAATAAGAAATATTTTCCAGTTGTTACTTTTTTTTTACATGTTACATTTTTACTATTTGAAAGCTAATATTAATGTTATTTTACAATTGTTACTTGTTTTATTTCATAATATTATTTTTATTTTATAATTGTTACTTTTTTCATTCACACCCTCTGATTCCTTGTCCGATTGTGAAAGCATGCATTCGATGAAACTAGTTTCATTTTTGAATATTACTTATGGTAGGGTAGGATGATATATTTTCTCACCAATATTAGATTTTTTCTTAATGTTTGACTAACTTTTTTCGGGCGTTTATAGAATAGTTGGATAATTTTTTAAGTAATATCATTTCCATGCAGAAATATTTAATTGAAATCAAATATTTTCAATTATGAATATCTTGTTCAAGAAATAATACATGAAATGAACTTTTCACAAATACTGATTTATAACTCTTCTGATCACATTGTTTGGATGATAATTAATATGAATTAAGCATGTTCCCTCTTACCATTGTGAGTAGCACTGTTGATAGCTGCACCTTCAACGCAGCCTGAAAATTCATGAACTATAAAAAAAAAAGGAAAAGCAATACAAAATAGTCCAGACATTCCTTATGTCCTCTCTTAATTCGTTTTTAACCATTTTCCTCTATCTTTATCCATACTATGTTGCACATTAACTTGTCGTAGTAGTTCTTAAAGACTATATTAACTTTCCTTTTACATGTATCTTTACAAGGGTTGATAAAAAAATTCGAAGACGGTGTTGAACATTTTTTAAAAGAAATCTGTTAACAATATTTAAATAAAATAGTATAAAACAAATGCTGCTATGATACACGTAATTTTACAAGATTTTATTAGTGTAAAACATAAAGGATGGAGGATTAGTTAGTATTTTATCTTTATATTGTGTGATCTCTTCGATAATTTTCATCCTTTTTTCTTCTCATTCTATCTAAACGATGCCCCGTACAAAGTTTAACTTTTTTGGCATCATTCAAAGAAACACATGATTACAATATTTATTATATTTTTAGGGAATTAAAGAGACCCAATGACACAGATCTGGTAAAGAAATAATAATGCTCAATAAAAATGCATCAAGTAAATAAACATATTCCTCTATATTTTTTACGTTTAATAAGTAAAGTTTTATTCTCAGCTATGTGGACCGAAAGGGAAGATGAGATATTAGTAGCTTCTTAATATCTAATATTTAAGAAAACAAGGTAGTTGTAAACATATAGAAAAGGTAATAAAGATGTCCATAATGAAAGGGTTCCCTTTACTCAGTACCAGTTTTATCACATTGATCAGCTGTGTGTCACGTGATTTGTGTAAAAATAGAATTGTAAACTGAATAAATAAATTGAGGCTAGTGTAACCGCATACTCGTGCTTTAGGGGAAAATTAATTATACACATTACTAAAGGTTAATACTGTCTACCGTAAAAGTGCTGTGAGCTAGTTTGTATTATTTGGGAAGAATTTTTAAGAAAACGGGCGCTTTAGATGGCGATTCGGCAGGAATAGTGGCTCACAAAAAGAATAAAAAAAAAACATTTATTTCTAATATTTTTTTTTTCAAAACCAAGACATTAATTGTGTTGTAGGTAATTGTATAGTTGACAAATATTAGGCTGAACATGTTTGAATTTATTAGAATATGCCAACCCGAAGATAGCCGTACCAATCAAATGCTGCAAAAATCAGCTCTTTTAAAGCCATTTCTCGTTAATTTTGTTGCTTCTGGGTCCTCTCTCCATGATTTTAAATGCAGGGTATTTTAACAGTTAAATTAATTGAAGTTTTTTTTTAATGAAGAGGCCACCCAAAATACCAAAAAAAATTCCCGTTTAGTTTCTGGGAGAAAATAATGAAAAAGTTAAAGTGTATAGGACTGTTGCTTTAAATACCCATTATCTATAGTGTCCCGGGTGGATCAAGTGTTTTGTTGCTGGATTCGAGTTCCATCTAAGCAAAATTTTAGGTTGGAATATGGTGAAGTTTTTCTTTTTGTTTTGATTTCTTTTATACTGTAAAGTATTAATTCGGTAGTAAATAATAATTCTTTGAATAGAGTTCTAAAGTATATTTTATAAATCATTTTGAATTGATTTATTTCGAAATGCATTGATATTCAGTCATTTATAGTGTTAACGTTGCTGAATAGAAATAAGTACGAGGGCTGTCCGTAAAGTTCGTGGACAACATTGATAATTTCGGACAATCATTGACAAAATAAAGGAAACTATTATTTTCATTAAATTCATGTTTCTTTTTAGAATTATGCAAGTTTTCAACAAAGCACAAATAGTTATATTTTTATCAGATACAAAAAAGACCCACACTCATACCCGGAGCACTTAAACGAAAACTCTTGACGTTACCCGACGTCAAAAGCTAAATACGAGCACATGTAACTTTTCTCAACATAGTCTCCGTTTAACTTAATACATTCTTACATCGTTTTAATCAGACTTTGACAACGACAAGTAATAACTGTGGAGGATTCCCAGCTGATTACGTAACCAAAGGCAAAGGGCGAGCGATTTGTTAATACAATTTAAAAGATAAACAAATAAGGTAATTTATTTTCCTTATTATTCAACACTAAACTATTTGAATTTGATTATTTTTATTTTAGTTATTCATTCTCAAAAACTACTGAATATGTGTTGTCCATGTCATGCGCAGTACAGTTAAGGTGACAAAAGGAAATTCGAGAATGTGAATTTTTCAGATAAAAAATACAATCTTTACAAGGATTGGTGATTTGTTTACGACTTTACTGATTTAAGAAAAATGCAGTTTGGTTCAAATCTACATCTTGAGGACATTTTGATTTTTTTATGAAGACTTGTCACGTGATGTCGGCTTAATCATTCTCTCTATGCGTTCGAAATTCACCAACTTTTACGATATGATGTCACAATGACTAGTGCAATGAATTGTTTATATGTTGATTTGTGGGATTTCACAAACGACAAAACTGCATGTAATAGAAAGTTTTGGTGTAATTCGACAGTTTGAAATAGTATATGATTTTATTCTGTGGTAGTTTGAACGTATTCCCTATTAATTAGGACCCGCCTCCTTAGTGTAGCCATTTATCCCCGTTCAGAATTGACCCTTTTTACAAATAATCTTTAAATTTATATTTTAAATTTGTTTTATCAGTTATTTTCATTGAAATTATCTCTGAATCTTTATTTACTGTTGGTTTATCACTAAATCATTTACAAAATTACATAGTGACATTCTCGGGACAATTGCTGTGAACTACAATGGGACAGAGCGTTAATACAAACACTCATTTCTAATATACCTTCATGTAATTATTTAATTTTTCTTTCTGCTATGTGCAACTTATCGAAACTTTTTTCAGACTGTAATATTCTCAACACATGTCATTTAATCACTCAATTCACTAATTGTTGTCAAAGAACTCTTTTATACCAGTATATGAATTGTATGCGTTAGTCCGGAGGCCTGACGAATTACTGGCCACTTACATCAGTATTCTCTACTTGTTTTTCATAAATGTTGAAATTGTTGACAATCAAAAAATTACATGCTTTTATTTATAAACCCGGAAACTTTATTACCCGTTACTTTGGATTTCTAATATATGAAAGAACCTTATAAATACGCCTTTACAAATTCCGGCCAACGAAACCACTCATTTTCCTGCCATTATTCCCTATTTTCCGATGAAAGACATATACTTTTTTCGGTCTAAGCTGCGCGGTCATACTTATCTGCACTGCATGGCAAGCAAGTTGTAAATCAAAAAATGTATATACATCAATTGATCTAATGAACGATACTTATCAAAACATACAATTTTTCTTTATCTCTAAGTTGTACATATCTATTAAGTCATCTTGCATCATTTTCGTAGCAGAAAAACATAATTGTTATAATTATCTATGATGCAAAATTTTTCCCTAGAATACGAGGGGCATTTCAAAAGTTCTGGCAACTGTTTAATAAAAGATAAACCGTTTAACGGAAATTATTGAGATTGATATCATTTGAAAGATCAGAAAAATATATACATATTGTGACGTCACTTTATAATTTTTATGACGTAATAACTCCGAAAATGACGTCAGAATACAGAATGTTTAGCATACTGACCATAAAAATGACGTAACAAAAGACACAATTTGATCAAATTAAAATTTTCAAGACAACTTTTGCTCATTTCTCGGACGCAGGTTAACGGACGCAAATGCCAGTTGGTGGAATGTTTACATAGACTACAATCTATCATATGGTATTTTATTTTGGAGATCTTCTTGTTCTAAAATGGTTTTAGCGAGTGTCAAAATTAGCATGGTTTTATCGAATCTCGCTCAAACTTTTGCGTAAAAGATACCTAAATGTAAGTTTAATAATAAAAGTTGACAATCAAAGAAAAATAGGCGATGGTGTTACAAAATTCGATGGCATTAATTCGTCAGGTGTTTTAACCAGATTTGTGGGATCGATGAAGGCTCAAGAGAAGTTAAGTTTAGTATGCCCAATATTTTCTCATAAAATCCAAAATGGCGGCGGCGCACTTGTAACCCCACCGTACCTCCACATATTCGCAAATTTTTATGCATAGAAAATAAATAACACTTTATATGTCTGAGTAACTCATATTCATTATTTGGATTCAAAAGTCAAAAGCAGTAATGAGTTTTGGGGCGCCGAAGTTAAATTTATATGAAAAAATACGCACAGAATCCAGTCGGGGACAAGATTTAGTACATTTTATTCGTAAACGGTAAGAGTCCTGGTACTCAAAATATATTTGATGAAAACTGCATTAATAAACTTCAATGTAATACAGAACATGTTTTATTTCAAACAATGGAGAGCTATATAAAAGACCGAAAAGCCAGCCGTATCATGTAAATAAAAATCTTAAATGAATGTCTATGATAGTATAATCGGACATAAACCGTGCTCGTAAACAAACCATACAATGAATAATGGAATTGCTGATAAACAGTATCATAGTCCTACTCTACCTCTTTTCAAATTAAAATTTTCATTGAAATATTTTTTTTCAAATAAGCGTTTGACAGAACTTTTACGATCGTCTCATGTAGAAAAAAACGCGACTTTTCAGTATGCTAAACATTCTATATTCTGACGTCATTTTCGGAGTTATTACGTCATAAAAATTATAAAGTGAGGTCACAATATGTGTATATTTTTCTGATCTTTCCAATGATGTCAAACTCAATAATTTCCGTAAAACGGTTAATCTTTTATTAAACAGTTGCCAGAACTTTTGAAATGCCCCTCGTACGTCTCATTTTTTTAATGAATAAATTTACAGATGATACATGTATTTTATCACAGAATTTTAAATGTTTCTTTTCTCATGTAATACATTTTTAGTGAAACTTTTATGTATTTTTGTCAATCAATACATGTAAATAAAAAGAGAATGTTTATCATATTTGTTTTATGGTAACAAATTAAAATGATTTTAAAATAAACAAGATAACCTGATAAACAGAAAATAAAATTTAACTCAAATACAAAAGACGTGAAATGCAATAACTGCTTCAAGCATTTTTACATGAAAGGATGCAGTCACGAATAGATAGAATTCAAGTCTAGACAAGTATAGGTTAGACACATCAAAATTATCAAGAATACCTACTGCTCTGTAACAATTAACGTTTTGCATTATGAACCCATACGGGGTGAAAAATAATGGAAATTTAGTTCAAGAAAAAAGTTGGAATATTTTGTAAATCACCGAACCACGCTTTTAATCGTTCCCTTACATGTTAGTAGGACATAAGAGATTTGTTTAAATTTGATTGTTGTTAAAGGTAAAGGCACATGATGTTACCAGGATAAACTGAACAAATGACATAATTTATTCTTAATTAAATTGATAACTTACCAGATCCGAAAATGCCTAAAATGGAAACAATATAAGTGTCATTTCTGTTATTAGAACGACATCGGAAAGATATCACCAATACATTTATTCTTATTAATTAGAACGTAAATTTAAATCAAAACACAAAATTAAGATTTATTTTATCCAACTAGATATTTTATAAATCGCAATTGGTTTATATAACATCAACAAACATGTGCAATACTGTATTAAATTCTAAAATAAAAAAAATACTTCAATTGTGTTTATTATGAAATAAATTTCTCTCTATGCTTTATTTTTTTTCTTAACACGCGACGTTGTTATACGTAAAAAAGGGAGAGGGGATAAAAGGCGACAAAATTATTAATTTTACTTACATCATGTAATATATAGAAAAATAAAACATTTCGGGGGTTATGTTTAAAAGATTCATAGACTTATTTCTTAAAACTCAAGCTTATCCATGCATATTTAAGTCCTCAATAAAAAGTGTATAAACACTTCAACATGTTCAAGGGAGGAACACTAAAATCGTTTACTTTTTGATGAAGTGTTTGGTTTTTTTTTTAACTCACAAACCGAAATAAAACAAGATGAAACTAATGAATCTGTACTAAGAAATCAAAACCTCAAAATAAATTGTGTTCCAAAGTTGTTTATTGATTAAAAGAAATATTTTTAAAAAATCTAAATAATAGAAATGCCAGCTTTCAACATGCACAGTTTATAGAGCTACCAGGGTTTGCAAGATCAGCAAACATTTTAGCGCATTTTGACGTCATTTTATTTGTGACGTTATTGTATTCAATTTTGACGGCAGTCAAGGGTACTGCGACGTACCTTTGTTCGTTAAAAGGTATGCGCAGACCAAGTAGATCGGCCCTCGTTAATATGATTGGTTATTTGTTTCAATTTTCTTTAAAAGTTTTTGTGCAAATATTTACAATAATAAAAACCAACTTACAGAATAACAAAGCGAGAATTACAAACGTCTTCATATTGGTATCCCTGAAAGATGTTATGACTGTTGAGGAGATTTGTACTTTATTATATACCCATGATTTTATTGATGAAGAGGTGTGATTGTTTTCTCTAAACAAGAAATAGAAGGTCAACATTTCATCAAATTCACTCCATTCAGCAATATGTTAATTTTTTTTTTAATTATTGAAAAAAAAATTAAGTTAAGCTGGGAATTTTATCGGTTTTGCCTGCTGAATGACCTTGGATATATGTATATAAGCAGAAAAGACGCAAAAACACAGGGAAATAACACCTAAGTTTATCAAAGTACAATTGTCCCCTTATTTAAATACAGAAAGTTTGATAAATCGATGGAATTTCCAACAACAAATCGTCAATCATCATTAATAACATTAGCAGCAGTTGAAAACGATGGAAAGGACAGGGGCACTTAAACAATAATTACTGGGCCCCTTTTTGGCGCTGATTTACTTTAGAATGTATTACCGAATCGTTCTCTTTTGCAATAGTTAAACACTTTTCAATTATTTCTAATTAAAAACTTGATTCAAAATACCTAGTTTACTGTTACATCCCAAACATTGCATAAACATGTTACATGTAACGTTTGATCACAGGGTTTGTTCCCGGCGTATAATAATTATTTATTAAAAAACATATTATAAACGGTAATTGTTAAATAACATTATTTTATTATTACCGTTTATTATTTTTTTTTTAAATAAAAAAAATACAGTCCCTGAAACGTTCTACTTTTCCATTTTTCCGTTCGCTCACCATTCGTTCAGCGTTCTTTCACCGTTCGTTCAGCGTGCATTCACCGTTCGCTCTTCATTCAGTTTTGTGTTCACCGTTAACCGTGCGCTCGCGTTCACCCTTCACAAAACGTTCACCGTTCGCTCTTCGTTCCGTTTACTTTGCGTACACCTTGCGTTCACCGTTCACTTATCGTTCAGTTTTCATTGTCGTTCGAAACTCCGAAGTGAAAGGACTAATCTTTTTGATGGTAAGGCTATACACTTTTTTTAATTGAAAAACTAAGATATCTTTCTTGAGAATAAATACTTCACTGCAAAAAGTATCTACTATATAAATATTCATTATTCTAACTTAGCTGTTACTTTATACATAAAATTCTCTTGGAAAATTATACAATAAGTACCTACATGTATGTAGAACGATGCTAAAATATTTAATTTAAATAAGGGCAATGTACAAATCCTTCAAGCATGGCAACATTTTGTTGTAATGTAAAAGACGACAATTCGTTGAAAGAATTATTTTTAACACATATTTTAAAAAACTGCAAGAAAACACAATAATAGAACTACATGTAGGTATGAGAATTATGAACGGTACTGCAGATATTCAGTGAATCAAATAACTTTAGAGTGAATCAATTTGATAGTGTGATTTTAAATTTTAGAAAAGACCAACCTTTTTAAAATGTAATACATTAGAATTTTTACGAGTCCCCACCCCCACCCCGGGGGAGGAGGGGGGAGGAGGGCGCTTGTTCTCCCGAAATCAAATTTTTGGTATTTTCAATATATCTTAATTCATGTTTATTGTGTATTGTAACACAGGAAAATCAGCCTTAAAACGAAATTTCATTAAAACAGTCATTAAACAATAGTATTTCTAAATATACATGTGCCGGCAGTAGTACTTTAAATTGAAAGAGAATATGTTTCAAATTCAATTTCAAGCTTAATCCTTCCAAGTATATATTATCATTATTTATTTTTTTTCTGCTGAAATGCGAAAATCAGATCTAGAAATTATAGGAAAAAAATATTAAACCTACTTTGAAATACTAATTGACTCTTTGCCTTCGGCATCTTCGGTGAAACAAGATTTCCACACCTCCACTGTGTCGAATGAATTTCATTGACAGGACAAGCATGTGGACTTCGTGTGAACCGTGTGAACCTGAAGATGGAAAAAAATGCCGATGATTTCTGTCAAACAGATTTGTTAATCTTAAAAAATGATTACTTTTACTGCTTGGAATATTTAGGAAAAATGTTTAGGAAAAAAAAATATTTGATACAACAGCTATCTGAGGATGGAGGGTCTCTCTCTCTCTCTCTCTCTCTCTCTCTCTCTCTCTCTCTCTCTCTCTCTCTCGTACATTTCTCTGTTCAATTAAAACTATGACAGCACATTACTCATTTAGTTTTGAAAATTGAATCTATAACAAATAATTTGATTGCCTCTTTTGCATCATCTTCTGTACTCACGGCCTGGAATTTTCTACAGACACATGTAGAAGTTAGCTAAAATTACCATCATAAAAAAAAATGACACAAAGATTTGAACCAATGGATTCATTCACACAGCAAGATAATCCATCATTTAAGGAAAATGGTATGTTCCATATTAGCCAAAAACCGTGCAATATTCCTGGCAAAATAATGAAATAAAACAGTAGAATTGCAAACATTTAGTTATGCATTCAATGTTTCATGCTTCCATGCATTGTTCTGAATTTTAAAACTTTTTTAAACACCAATTTACTCTCAATAATGGTACATGTATGCATACATGTATATCCTGATTTTCCCATACATGTATTTTCAGAATTGATTTCATCCAGAAGAACATGAAGAGATGGAAATAATTTACACCTGCTCAGTATTCCTTATACAGTATACTTATGAATTTGAAAAGCTGTTTATGAAATAGATTTTCTTGATAGGTAATGCTTTGACTTTTTTCATATACATGTACTTACTGTGCAGGTGTTGAAAAGGCTATTAAGATTTGAAAATCTAACTTGCATATATTTTGTGTGGTGGGTGTCAATGTCCATTAAGATCTTATTTCCAGCAAGTACATTGTGTTGATTTGTTTTCCAATAATTGTAACTAAAAAGGAGATTGAATACTCCCCTAATTGATTCGGAACAGGAAAGGGGACCACCATTTGATTCTGAAGTGAGGGGTGGTTGGCAAGTTTTCTCAAGTCGTTTTTTTTTATTTTCATGTCAATGAAGGACAAATTAATATTTATTTCCAATAAGATGAAGGACAGATTATTTATTTTCCTCTCCACTCAAAAATGTCTGACAAAGAAAGAAAACCCTTTAATTTATGGGAGTACTGATCTGGGCAGATTATTTATTTCTTACATTGTATCCACGCTGTAACATATTTATTTTCAACATTTTCGAGATCTGCCCCCCCCCCATTTTTGGAATAAAAAGGTAGCCCCTTGACAAATATTTTTCATGCTTTCCACTTAGTTCTTAAAACTTACAACTTAAAATCCTTAAGAGTTGAAGGTTTGAATGAAATCGATAATAGAATCTCGTATGCGAATAAAATCTAAACGTTTTCTTATTTGTACACAAGTGTATGTACAGTAGTGACAGGGGGGTATAGTTATCGAATTAATTATTGATGGAGCCTATCAATTGACTTTTAATTATAATTGAACATTTCCATTTTTATTAGCAATTGGCGTTTTAGATAACATGCTGTGGCAAACTTTACACCTACATGTAGCTGCATGTGTGTTTACACATAGGCCTATTTGAGGAAATGCGGAAAGTCTGAAAGACGTCTTTTAGCATACATGATCCATACATTGTATCGCAAACGAAGTCACAAAATAAAAAGTAATGTCGAGGATGTTTTATGCATACCATTTTGATTTAGTAAAAAGATCCCAGCGAAGTCCGCAAGTATAGTTATTTAAAATCTACAAGGTAAACAAACTATATCAAGTACTAAAGAGTTATCTCCCACGCTGGGTCATTGGTGCGTTTTAAAACTATATTAAGATTGACTGTACCAAGATGTCAATTTTTAATCAAAAAAAGGCGACAGTCTAAAAAATATGTTTTGTTTTAAATTATTTAATTTACTGTATAGTTTTCAAAAAGTGATGTTCATTTCTTTGTAATCCTTTAGGTAATTTATAATTTTTGATGGAATTAGGAAAACACCCTTTTTTCAGAAACTACTGTATGTTTTAGCTAAATAACTTGTGTATCGGAAAACTGACTGAATGGGCATCACTTTTGCGAAAGTATAGATACATAGGGACAATTTAAAACACAGTACAGTTATTTTTTGTTTGCCTTGATCTTGAACTTTTTGGTTAAGTTTGTTGACCTAAAATCGGAGCCCACCTGACTTTAGAGGGTCACATGATGACAAAAAATACCGATGTGAATAGCGATGGACATACTCTTTAAGATAACATAAAGATTTTTTTAACTAGAGTGTCTTGCTGAAAAATAAAACAGTTAAACATTAAGTGTATCGTATTCGGTGACTTTTTTTTTTTTTAGAAATTGTTGCCTTAACTGTTCTGCATAACTGCTTTTGGAATGAAATGTCTGTGGCCAAACAATAAAAAAAAGTTAAAATTCACTATACGCTTTCGGACTATTATGTTTGCCAAGTTGTAGCAGAGATGTTTGCTCTAAAGACAGAAACGTTGATAGACGTGTCCTATACGAAGGAAAGCTGTACATTGTTCATTTATTTACTTTGAGTAAATGATCATTCAAATCAAACCATGTGTTTATATTTGTGGCAAACGGAGCACCGCCATATGAGGTACATAAATCCATGAATTCAATTAAAACAATGAACTTTACAAGCCAGAACACCGTAATTATTGAAAAATCATAATCGAAAGGATATAACCGGTAACTCATGTCATGATAACATTTTTTTTTTCATTTAACTAACCTTACTTGACTAAATATATTCCGTTATTTAAACAAAGTACAGAAGCCCGTTGGGGCCAATTCAGAGACAGAAATAATTTTTATTGCTTCTAATCGCAATAATTATTGCGTTTAAATGCAAAACATTGCGTTCCATAGCAATAATCATTGCTTATAAACGCAATGTACTTTGCGTTAAATCGCAATCCTTTGCGTTTAATCGCAATATTTTGCGTTTAAATGCAATGATTTCGAGATTAAACGCAGTACTTTTGCGTTTAAATGCAATAATATTTTAGTGTTTAATTGCAATAATTATTGCGTTTAAACGCAGTAATTACTGCATTTAAACGCAATAATTACTGCGTTTAAACGCAATAATATTGCGATTAAACGCAATAATTTTTGCGTTCAACCGCTATTCTTTTGCAAATTAAAGCAATGAGTTTTGAGTTAAATCGCAATATTATTGCGATTAAACGCAATTTTTTTTGCATTTAATAGCAATAACTTTGCGTTTTATCGCAATAATTTTTTGCGTTTAATCGCAAAGAATATAATAAATAATTTTTTTTTGAAAACGTAGCAGTGAGATTTGAAGTTTAACAATAGCATTTTAACAACCAGAGTTGCTTAAAGCTATTAGAGCCCAACACTTTAAATTAACGTAGCCATTAATCAATTCCTTCGGTATCACAGCTAATTAAGAATGTTTCACTGGTATTGATAGACTAATCAATTTGGTAGATCATATCGGTCAAACTGTTTTCATTTGATTTATTTCTAATTTCATATGATTCCATCTTTTTAATTGTTTTGTTCTCGTGTTTAATTATAATGTGAGTAATCAAAGGAAAGTTTGTGAATATACATACACATAATATGAAATAATACATACATGTATACATAAGTCTAAACATTTCATTAGTTGTTTCCTTAAGCGCTATATTAAGGATTTAAACTTTTTGACCGCAACGTTGAGTGATAGTTTTTCAATCATTATTTCTTTTCTGGTATTCTCTTTCGAACACCTTTAAAATTGTTTGCATAGTTTTAAAGTTTAAAATTAGAGAAAACAATATAGGAAATGACATATGTGTTTGAAAGCAACTGAACAAAACTTAAACAGGAATATAGATATCTATACATGCTGAAGCTTTGTTTCTTTCTAAGTTAGTCTTTGTTTATACAGATCGACACTTCTTTCTCCTCTTTAAATCCATATCAATGATCTAATCATTCAGAAAATGCTATTTCAAAAGAATCTAATTCTATAAAGCTGAACAATACACAATTATCCTCATAGGTTATTGTACAAAAAAGAAAGTAAAAATTGCCCGGGTCCATTACACTCTTCAGAGATCAATAAAGATGATTGCTATTAAATATAAAGAATATTGCCTTTAGATGCTAAAAATTATTGCGATTAAACGCAAAAAATATTGCAATTAAACAAAAAAATATTGCGATTAAACGCAAACATTTATTATTGCGTTTAATCGCAATAATTATTGCCTTAAATCGCGTAAATTTTTGCGTTCAAACGCAAAACATTGCGTTTAAATGCAATCTTTTACGATTAATCGCAAAGTGTTTTGTGTTTAAACGCAATGGTCATTGCGATTAATCGCAATGTTTTGCGTTTAAATGGAATAATTATTGCGATTAAACTCAATTTCTTGCGTTTAAACGCAAAATTTTTTGCGATTAAACGCAATAAAAAATATTTCTTTCTCTGAACTGGCCTCAACGGGCTTTCGTAACAAAAACCATTCTAAAAAATTTTTTTAAGTTTGTTTTTTTATTTCAAATGAATTGCATCAGATAGTTTTCTTTTTGGATTTTCATCAACATCATGCGTAACAGCACCGGCACCAAGAGCGACAGTTAATACAGCAGGAATATCCTTTGGATCGCGCTGAAAGTGAAAACAATTTAATCAATATAGGCGAATACATATATTTCAGATGGCATGCGGCTCTTATTAAACAAAAAATATGGTGGGTTATATCATTTCAGGAATGTTTTTAAGTTTTGTGTGAGATATTGGTGTGTAAATCACACAGACTGAATTGTCACGTAATCATATTTCTTGAAGCGCTCTAGCATAACATTGCAATCGTTTGAATTTTATCGAGGTGTCTTTGACCTTCTTCTGACGCCACTTTCCTTCTTGTTTTCATTGCATATTCCTAAGCGTGAGTATACTCAAAATGGTATTCAAATTAATTTCAGAGTTGCCTTAGTAGAAAAACACAGCAAATGTTAATATTCTTATATAAGGCATAAAGAAGAGAGAAAGGTATTTCGTTGAATAGCAGTTATAGGGGAAAATAAGCAACAGAATGAGAATTAAGAAAAAAAACAGCATTTATATCGGTATTCCTTGTACTTTATAAATATTGGGGTAAATAAATCAGCTTTCAAGAAAAGGAAAGTGGCAACAATGATGCAAAGGTTGAAAAGGGTTCAAACCAAGAGCTTGAAAAACTAACATCTTACTTTCATTTATGAAGATTTTATAATATTAGCAGCATTATATTTAGTGCAGGCTTTTGCAATTTGGTGTAGGCCGCCGAAAGTACTTTGTGAGCTACATTTACTTGTGGAATGATTTAGATTTTTTAAGAGTATCTCAAATAATGTCAAAAAGGATCAGGATTTTTTTTTTTGTAATATACATGTCATTCTCTGGATTGACCTGAATATGTTTACATAACACAAGTTGAGAAATTGCTTACGTGGCGCCATCTATCTAACAATCAAAGAAAGATTGCGGTACACAGGTACATGTGGAATACTGTGAATGTTTTCCGTTTTACCTTTTATGGTGTTAATGCATCATGGCTTATCTTTAACTCCAGAACTTTATCTGAATACGATTATTTTTTTCACGTAACATGCTACTGACATATATGTTGATGTGTCAGGGATTTAATGATATTTCTTTAATTTTCAGCATTTAGCAAATTTTATGATTGCTAAATAGACATTTTTTTAATGAAAACATTCATAGAGTTTTATTTAAGTTTACTTACTTTACTAGTTACCAAACTAATTGTTATTCTTTTGTTATAATACAAGATTTGACCACGCAATGTATTCTAAATAATTTTTTTTAGGTTTTACGAATGGTTTGACCGGTAGAAAGGGGGTGCTTTTTCAACTAAATCACCTTATCCCACCTCTTGAATATCAGGTCTGTCCCTTTTTATATACGCGCATTGATTATAATGGATTTTTTCAAGATAAATAACTTTTTACAGTTTGTTTTAAGGAAAACTTCTGTCTACCTTCCCTAAAATTGTAAATGTTTGAGGAAATTGGGTTCCAAAAGAAATAAATGAATACATTCCAAACAAAAAAAGAAACATAGTTTAATATGGATTTTTTTTTTTTTTGCATGTTGATTTATACATCAAACGTACTTGGATATGGGAAAATAAGGGTAATTTATTACAATGTAGCTTACATCATATCAAATTATTTAAGCCAAATAAAGAAAAATGAAATAAATTTTTGCATTTAAGCAACATTCTCGCGTCATGATTTTCTTATATACGAGTAAGTTATTACCTTCAAAAACAGATACATTGAACTAGAAATATCATTTCAGAAGTCAACATACCTTCAGCTCTAGAAATTCGAATTGGAGTCACTGCAAGCAAAATCAATTGACGAATCAATAAAAGGAAATATATTAACAAAATAGAGAAGAAAACATAATTAGGTTGTCTCATCGTTGTTCATTACATGTAAGTAGAGAGGAGTGATCACTGTTTGTCCGTCCTTTCCTACTCTCTCTCTCTCTCTCTCTCTCTCTCTCTGTTCTATATCTCTGCATCACCTTATTCTTTAACGTCTCTTATATTTAGTTTACTTAGAAACAGTTTTCCGATTTCTTTTGTTCTTTGCCTTTTGTTTACCATCAGTATTTAATTCGTACATTTAAATCCACACTCTTTAGCAAACCCTTTTACACTCACTTCAATACAATTAAATTTAATTTGCACTTTCTAGAGGGTTTTCTCTGACTGACTGAATAAATAAAAAAGAATGAAAATAATTTGCTTATGCCTCCGTGAACTGCTTTTTTCTATTATAGTGTGCAAAAGGAAGTAATTTTTTGTAAAGGTTTCAGACTGATATTGCTCAGGCATAGTTATTTATACTCAATAAGCAAATATTTCTCAAAATAGGTAACTCCCCTATTGCTACTTCCTATAAAATTGTTCCACTTACCATCTCGCTCTCCAGAAAGGTCAATTGCCTCAATTTGGGCTGTAATATAGCAGAAGTAAATTAAATCAGATCATTGATATGCTTGCATACTCATACTCGCTACACTAACAAAATTCCATAGAGGGTCATATCTGTGGTCAAATTCAGAACAACTCTAGTCTTATTCGCATCAACAAATATACGATGATTTTGCAGGCTACATATTGATTGGTTGAAAGACTTTGACCTCTAACGTAACTCTCTAGTGGATGTTGTTAGATGATAGTTTAGCGAGTATGCGAGCGGATCTAACATCTACTTTTGAATATATTGAAGTATTTATAAACTAATTTAATAAAGAATATAAAATATGTTAACGGAAACAACTCGAACAATGTTAATAAATATTAATGTTTTTTTTTCTTTATTATGTTAACGGAAACAATTTGACCCACATTATATTAATAATCAAAAGAATTATTTCAATTTAGAAATTGTTGTAAACTTTGATATTCAGTATTAGGTATTCTTGTTCTTTTCCTTTGTCTGGAATTTTGTCATTGGATCAAGAAAAGAAGTATTTACTTACCAGTTCCCAAAATACCTAAATGTATAAATACAAATATCATCTCATGTGCAGGATGAATTATTTTGCTTAATAAGCTCTATTTTGTTATATAACAAATATATGACAGCCTTAGTGATTCAATTTGTTTTCGATAATATAAAGCGCTAAAATGCTGTTAAGTCTGAAAAAGAGAATTCATTTTGATACAAAATCGATTATGATTTTAATGTTTCACTTTCTTACTGACAATGTACAAGCTGTGATGCTCCATTGTCGCCAACTGCGCTTGTTTTTTAACGTGGCAAATGATTTTAGTATTACATGTACATTTGAAACGTTTTATTCAAGGTATTCCAATCAGATTCTTTGTTTATGTAATGCTGATCCTGATGATATATATACACGTAGCTGGGCCGAAATTCTAAAATTTTTTTTAATGTATTCTTAAGTTTGAAAAATAACAAGCATTGTATTTTTTACTTAACTCTCCTAAGTTTTACTTAATTTTGGTAGAAATACCTAGGTATATTTCATAAAACTGAAATAGTGACTAATAATTAACTTAAAATTTAGTGTACCCGATCAGATAAGAATATTTGTTTTTCTTTATCAACATAAAATAATTGTGACAGAAGAAATTAAAATATTTAATTAAGGAAGCATGTTTAAACATCTAACTAGAAAATCTTTTTGCCTTTCAGATATTTATCAACGGGAATGATACAAATGTGCAATGTTGATGAACAGCTGTAAATTTCAGTTATGACGTAATACACATAGATCTAAATCCCTCCATCACAAAAGAATTCACCTGAAGTAAGGGAATTTCTATTTGTTGCAATAGTGACTAAGCTACACTTAGAATTTTTATGAATATGATAAGATTATTTTCTTAACTAAAACTATTTATACTTAATTATAAGAAAAGAGGATACAAAAAAATGGATGTCTGGATTAGTATATATTCTATAGATATAATTTCATAGCAAATGATGCAAATAATAAATTTCTAGAATTCATGTATAAATAAATTGTACATATAAACCTTAAAATTATGTTCAAAAGTATACCTTTCTAAAACAATTCTTATTTCACTTCAAATCCTATTTTTGTGAAATTTTGAATAAAAATATAAAAAAAACTACGCGGTGAAACTTATTCATTTAACTTATTAAAACATGGCCCAAGTTGTTATTTTCAATTTTTTGACAATAGCTTGTTTTTATTATCTGCCTTTAAGTGTGTATCTTAGCATAAATCTTAAGTATCTTTATGAACCCCAGTCCTGATGCTCAATTTGCTGATTTATTGCTACTTTATCAAGATAAGTTATCTGTACTGTAACATGTTGTCAGAATTTTTTTTAATGAAAACCCTTCCAAATACATTTTTTCTAATATTTTGAAATATGATTCAGATTTAAGAAATTACTGCATTATAACGCAATATTGCGAAATACTTTGTAGAGGTAGTATGTAGTGAAATTACAGAGACTGTATTGTAATTATAATGACTGTAGACTTGTCTAATAATTTACTTATAAATATTTTGTACATGATTACGTTACAGTTAAGAATTGTATATGAAATCAAAACATCAGATACTCACAAAACAATAGAGCAAGAAACAGGAAAGTCTTCATTCTGATCCAGTGGAAAAGATAATTATATTAAAGTTTATTCAGAGAGTTTATTATATACCTTCTGCTGGGGTTATTGATTCGTTTAGAAAGAACAAGTCAAAGATTAATTGGTTAATTTTTTATCCAATCAAAATCATTTTGTATCTATCAAGAAATAGCTGCATATAACACTTCAATTCCGAAAAAACTGTCGATTCTGAAAATATACAAAACGATTAAAAAAACTTCCATTTGTTTAAGGATTTTTCATAATATAACTTACATTAAAAACAATCATACATGACAATGAAAAAAAATACAGAAATAAAAAAAAAATGAGATATTTCTCCTTTTAACTGACAAATTTTAAAAATCTGGTACATTGAATGAAAAATATGGATATAAGATCGAAAGTCTATAACACAATACAAAATAGGAACGGAGCAAACATAGACCACCAGAACATCAGAGATGGGATTAGGTGCCATGGTGGAATGAGTATCCCCTATCAATCATTGTCATTATCGGGAAATGACGAAAAATTTCGTCGTCAATTCATTTTATAGATATTGGACTAACAATTAGTATACGAAAAACGTCAGTCAGCATTTGGCTCAAGGAGTGTACATTGTATTTGCTTACAAGGTCATTGTATCAACCATAGAACTTACGAAAAGATGACTTTTAACGAGACTGCTGTTTTTTTCAGTTTGTTTGTAAATAATTAATGTCTTTTTAGAAATTTTTCATAGAGTAAGCATGCTCTTGCGTATCGAATCAACTGAGATATATAAACTTCGCATGCGGGTGATGAAGATATATTGCTGCATTAGTAAAGGAAGTTGACGGTCATCACGTTAATAAAAGAGCTTGGGTGAGAGATATCCATTAAAGTTTTTTTCAAGTTAAATATCCAAATATAAAACAGATGTGACAGAGTCTATTGTATCTTTTATCTCAAGCTCACAAGGATTATATCGTATCGACATGAAAATGTATTTACCGTTGTTAATTGAGAAATACGTCGTCGATTTATCTAAATGTCGAGATGAAAGCCACAGCAAGTATTTACTTTCTTTAACGTATAAGAATTAGGACAAATTCTGCTTAATATAAATGCAAATATAGGTCTGCTAACAACGGGGCGCAATTGGTATCCATGAGAATTCCAATAGATTGTTAGAAGACCTGGTCTCCAAACATCATATACACTGTAGATATTGTCAGTCAGAAACTCTATCACCTTTTTGATGCCTACTTTAGAGTATCTGTGCAAATAATTAGAATGTTTTTAACAAAATGATTTTTCAAATGACCGCATTTTCCTTTTCCTATATAATCCTAAATAAATATGGTATAAAAATACCTATTGTAGTTTTCACACAATAAAACTATAGTAATTTTAAAAAATCTATCGAGCTGACAAGGTAAATAAATTTACGATTTCTATTTTCATTGAAAATGCAGCTTTCAATGATATCAAAAATCTTGGACTTTCATTTATCGTAGGAAATTGTTGTATTTAAGATATAAGGTTTCACTTTAAAAAAATCTATCGATTTACCCGAAGTGCTTAATGATGAATTTGAAATCGAACAAACCCTTATTTATAGCCGATAATTGTTTAAAAATCATACATTATTACTTATTTTTACATTTGCGACTTATCTATATTTTAGATTTGCCCTATTATGACTTTTAACGCGTAAAATGATTTTTTTTCAAACCCAACGGCATGTATGTTATCTATCATATTGTATTATATTGCCCATCAACTCTTTATGACGTCACCGAGAAGAAACGTCGACCGTTTATGACGTTCGAGAAACTTGTACATGTATTTATACATTTAGATATACGCATTGCTTTCAGAAGTGCCATATAAAGGGATACATTTGTAAATGTAAATAAGTTTAAAAAGTCTTACGTTTTTAAGCTGTTGATTTTTGTAAATCTTGTAATTTCAAATTGTCCAAATGTTCCTTGGAATATTTAGGTATCCACATCTAATTAACAACACATCGTGAATATATCGTTGCACAGTACACTTGAGGTGTCTCCATCACTACTGTTAATATCTTAATGTCTTTAACTCAAGAGCATGACTCAATAAAGACATAAAATACTTGGTAAAAATCGAACAGATTTCGACATGAGCCCAATTACATGTACTTGAAAAGTTAAGTAACAAATTGCATATTATATTTAAAGCAGCAGCCCTTACACTGTAGAAAGTACAAACTATTCAAAAACAAAAAACTTTTTTTTTGAATTTCAACTAGGGTATGCCTCTGCGATATTAAGTACAATGCATTATTAACGTGACTGTCCATTGATTGGACCAAACTTAATTCAGTACAGAGTGGGATATATTATGCTATTACCGTGAGTATTTCAGTTATTTGAGTATAAAACGGTTTATACAAATAAATTCAGTTTTAAAAAGTTCTCCTTTTCTGAACATCAAAATTTCATTGATTTCTTTATAGTAATACCTAACAGTGCTGCGTATAATCTTTAAACAGTATGAGTGACTTCTCTAGCATCCCCAGTCTAAGGCGCATAAGTGCGAGAACAGGACGTAACGGCTTGTGCCAGAATATTATCAGATCAAGATGTCCTGTCTTACATGTAGGTCCATAATTACTCAAACGTCATTTTTCTACTATTAGGATAGTTTCGAAGAATTCAGAGGTAGCAATTTCAAGTGGGGCAATGTTTTCTTTAGGGATTAAACAATCTTTAATTTTAACGGCAGTGATGGTGGCCGGAGGGTTTATCGCTAAGAAAGAGAGGTTACTCGGATGTTTGCATAGGCCAGCGTTTGCATACCCAGTTGCAGATAATCAATTGAAAGTGATCAGGTATTTCAAATATATAATAAATTTGTCTTAGGAATAAAATAGTCCAACATCATCTGACACGTGATACCGTTCAACGGAGACGAAAAAAAAAAACACACTGCAACAGGATATCGCCAGACGACATGTTGCCGGTCTGCAGTTTCCCTTGATTTGCCATCAATAGAACACGTATAGGATGGTATGGAAATCGGATACTACGTTTACCAAACAATCCTAGGACATTGGACGATTAAGGCCAGGGATTGTCCAATATCTGGATCAACACGCCCCGATCATTTCTGAATAATTTATTACCATAAATGAGAGCCCGATGGCAAATATGCGTGAACGGAAAATGTAACGTCCTCGAAAGACCTTTTATGACGTAAACACAAGCTTATTCTGCACATTTGTAAATAAAGCATCTTTAATGGTGCTATAAAATTAAATTTATTGTCATTGATATTTTTAATTTTTATTTGTACTTTAACAAATGAAGATATTTCTAAAAGTTAATGTTAGTAAATAATGAATTTGCACCTAGATCCGATTTATTGTCTGCAACGGAAACATCATCTCCCATTGAAAATATTTGTCTATTTTATATGTTTATTCAGATTTTAAAGTAAAAGTTTCAAAAGAATTTTTTTAGACCATATGTGTTTAAATATGACTCTTGATTACAAATTTACAAAAAGGTCAGTATTAGTTTATCTTTCGTTTACAAAATAAATTTATAAAAAAGACAAGGATCAAGTATTAATTTGAAGGTGAACCGCATTTCCTTTAAAACTGAATAGTATGAGTCATAAAGAGGTAAGGGTTGAAAAATTAAACTATGTAAGGAACAGGATCTACAGAATAATACGCAACAGATGTGTTGTTTTCATTGAAATCAATCTTTTTTTAAAACGGATGTATTAAAGAATTGTCAAAAACAAAGTAAAACGATTTCAGTGACCTCTACTTAATTATTGTGACATCTTGGTTTATTTCTTGCAGAATTGCTGAATTTAATATTGATGGTGAACTAAGATTTAAACAATTTGACACGTGCACAGTTTTAAATTTCCTATCGTCAATATGTGTTTTCTATGTTCAGTATCATATTTTCATCACCAAACTAACGACTTTAAATGGGCATACTATAAAATGTAACCTGGACCGACCCATTAGGTGTGTCATAAAAATGACTTGGCCCCAGTATCCCCAATCAAAATTTTTGCTAATTTTTTTTCAATAACGGTGAATTTCCAGAACAAAAGTCTTAAAAGATTGAATACCTCTTTGACATTCATGAGGATCCAAAAATAAATCAGTAATAAATATATATAGAAACAGATTAAAGAAGAAATTATCAACATAACAATCCGTAGAACACAGTATTTGCAAACAAGATAATTTCCCAAACTTCTACTTTTATCGGCATTGCTTGACAATCCTAAAAACGTCAACTTAAAGCAATATGAGCTGCAACTTTGATATCGGAATTTTTAGTTGCAAAATTGTAAATAACTATAGCAATGACAAAAAAACGTTAATATACTTCTGTTGTTCATATTTGCGATGGAAGAACAATTTATAAGCTTCGATTGAATCAAAATTACATTATTATCATCCTGTACAATAATGATTTTTTAAAATAAAACTATATGTTGGATTGTATATAAAAGTTTTTCTTCTGCTTCATTAAAGTCACCCCGTGGGGATCCGGGTTAGAATATGTCCTCAGTAGCCCCTTGCTTGTCGTAAAAGGCGACTAAATGGGGCGGTCCTTCGGATGAGACCGTATAAACCGAGGCCCCGTGTCACAGCAGGATTGGCACGATAAAGATCCCTCCCTGCTCAAAGGCCGTAAGTGCCGAGCATAGGCCTAAATTTGCAGCCCTTCACCGGCAATATCAGTGAAACATTCTGGAGAGGGACGTTAAACAGTATACAATCAATCAATCGTGTAAGTCTAATTGATCATAAAGGTTTTAAGTACATGCAAATAAATCATTTTAACAGCAAAATATAATTTTTTCCAAAATGTAGCTTATATTGCTTTAACTACGGTTTAAAATTGATTGTCGATTCAAAAAAAACTTTCCATGTACATGTAGCTCTGTGATTAGTGCAATATGAACTTGACAAGAAGATTCTGGGTTCGAACCTCAGCCGCAACTGACCCAGGTAGATTAAAAAGAGAGCAATTGTTTTTTCTACAATAGCTAGGCAATTCAAAATCACAGGTCTTTCGACGAAAACAATTCAAAAGGCGGGTTTTGACACGAGAAAGATCCTCTACTCCTCAAGGATCTTGGGAGTCGAGTATAGGCCTAAATTTGAAAGCCCTTCGGAGGTATATGGTTGTGTCTCTGTATGAGTGAAAAATTCTCGACTGAGAGAAAAACTGCATACACCTAGGCAATCAAGTTCAATAAATCATTGCGGAGTCATTCATAATGTGCTTGTGGGAGATCAATGATTACGGGCAAGCATAATTCCTTTGATTTGTGGTGACCTTATTTCATGCAGGTACGTGTGACTTTTATATTCAGGCGATTTTTTTTATAAAATAGAATTTAGATATTGTCAAATCATTATTCGTGGAGTTGTAAATTTGAGGATGATGGGAACGCGCGAATCCACAAACATTGGTCCCTGGCTTCTCCAAACTACCACATAAGTTACCTGCCAAAAATTTTAAATCCAAGTCGGATACATTTAGACGATTCTACACTTTTATCAGAAACTTGACGATAATCAAAATTCAAAGACTCTGTAGTCGATATAATTACTCATTCGAAATATATTTGTGTGTTGTTATGTGAAATGATGAATCAATCTTAATATTTAACACTCAGTTATCTACAAATAATTTAATTTTGTTTGTATTCTAGCCTCTAATTGGTAAGCATCCAAAAAGAACAAAGATTTTTTTCTGTATAATCTGGTTTGGTATGGGTCACATCCATGCCCCGAGATTCATGGAAAATTCCAGGTTTACGAAGGTACCTCTCTCTTTAAAACGTAGCTCGCTCTTACGCGGGTATATTGAGGAAGCATTCAATCATTTCTCGGAAAATATAGACCTTTTAAAGAAAATGAAGTTTCAAAATTTACCAAAGCCGCTGATAAAATGTAAACAATTGTTAAAAGATTGTCTAAGCCAAAGACGTGCACCACTTCCACGCCATCATGTGGCTGCTATTGATTGCAAAATGTTCCTTAAGGGTTTGCTTTTGTGTGCAGCCAAGTGAGACTCACTGAAAATAAAAACCTTAATATCTTTAAAAATAAGCCTTGGCAACACTTGAAAACTGGTCCATTTTATCTTCATAATGAAAACCATCTTTGGGTATATGCAGCTACATTGACACTTGCAGTAGTTTGCAGCTATGAAGTGCACAATACACCTTCAGGACTGCGCAGCCACAGATTTTAGCAGTGCATAAAAAAATCCAAAAAAATATGAAATAGTTAAATAAACAAAGTGGCTACAACTATTTGTGAAGAACCATTGTTTTAAATGAAAACTGACTACAAGAGGTACAATTCTTTAAATGCATACTTGTCAGTTCAACAAGAAAATGTTAGCCATGAAAGTAGTGCCAACCACATGGCAATGTGTTAAGAATAGAATTGAAGAGACTCACTGTTGTTCTATAAATAGCACTTTATATGAAAGCCCAAATTTATCTAAAGGATTACTCTATGATGTGTGCAAAACAGGGAAATTAATGTTAGAAAATTAATTTTCTCCTTAAAAAATATTTTTAATCAGATTTAAAATATGTAGGGTAATGAAAGTGTTCAATTTAAATGACACTTAGCCCACAATGTTTACTTGAGTCATATTGGTGTTCTTCAGATTTCTAAGACATTCTTAGCCCCCTTAATTCTTGTGAAAACAAATATGAGCCAATATTTTGGCCCCACTTAGGGGTCATAAGGCTACATCTAATCCAAAATTGATTCCACAACATGAGGTTATTTCATTATCAATATGGTTAACAAGGCTTATTCTGAAGAACAATGTTTACTTTTTTCCCACATGTATGTATATATGCATTGACCAGTTATATAAAATCTGATTCCAAAAGAAGAAAAAAAAATGAAAATATAAATAGGGAATATTCTAATATTATTAAAATTAGGTCTGGCCCATGATTTAGACCAACTTGAATCTTTTATATTTGATAATGCTTGCATTTAAATATAAGTTAATCATTACCCTGTTGCTCGTTAAAGGACAATTTTTTTTCAATACATATTCCCAAGCAAGACTTTGATACCCTATTTTAGGGTTTAATTTTCAGGGATGACAGATTAACAAAGTTAACAGACACAAGAGACCCTTTGATCAGAAAAGCTCCATAGAACCTTTTGCTAAGATGACCTAAGATACAAAAATGTCTTTGATTATTGAAAAAAGGTCACAAAGAAGAACAAAACAAAAGGATGATAAATGAACTTTTTTTTAATTCTTCATCACTTCCAGAATATTATATTTCTTTTAACATGTTAACCAGCAGATACAAGTTTGACTCATTTTTTAAAAGTTTCTTTAAAGATATAAGGTATAATTTCATTTTATAAATAAACTTCAATCTTAACAATGTAACTGGAGTATTAGGATATCTGAGACCTGTGTTCTAAGTACTGGTTTAAATGCACAAAATGTTTTTAAATCAGTCTTGAAAGCACTGAACAAGAACACATATAAATTAGGTTAAAAATCTTATTATAATATCCTTTACCAAGATCCCAAAATGTTCTTCATTGGAAACTTGTGGAAAGTTCATGTATGTATTTTTTGTTTATGGTCATCATATGATCTTTTTCAACGATGTTCGGAAAGTTCAACACATGTGTATATACTACCATGACATCAGAAATAACTTTCAAGTCACATTGTAATAAACTAGATCAGAGTCTTCATATGTTGCTAATATTTTCTCCAACACTGTTTTCCAAAAGATTAACTGTTGAGACAAACCAACAAGGACAAAACCTCTGTCATTAGAACCATTTCCACTTTATTTTTGAAATCTGTAAAATAATATAACATAACACTAAAAAAAACAATACAGTTGATCACTATCAAAGAAGAAAATTAAACTGAATGATAAATCTTTACATCATGACTAAGAAAAAAGCATTAAACGATAGACAAGTAAATTTCATGGTAAAAGGTTACACATTCCTCAGTAATTATGGTCACGTTGTAAATATTGGTCAAAACTGTTTGTTGCATTGGATATACATGTGTTTGGTGATCATGTCATCCTTCTTTGGGAAGTAAATGAGACAAGCATATAATATAATGTTCTTAAATGAGGCAAACAAGTTTCAGTACAAAATCTTAAGGTTAAATGACAAGGTCAAGATTTGATAGCAGAATTTTAAAAACCTGATATAATGACCTGTGTTAGTAAGCTACAAGATGATGATCAGAAACAGTCCCTCCAAAAAGAGATTGAAGATTTTCATAACTTAAGAATAACCTCTGATGTGACCTTTCTTCATCCAGACTGTTTACCTATAACAATTGTTGTTTACTGTTATTCAATGCAATATACATGTACATTGATTTATAACATGATATTATACATAAGGCTTGATTATTACTTAATTTGATATTACACTTAGTACATTGTACTGTGTTAAACTCTTATACTAAATTTACAGAATCATCTCATTGTGATATAAAACTCATCTCATACCTTATTATAGAACACCTACAAGGGAGGTTCATGGGAGGGCTCCAAAACAGGCATCAAATGAAGTACAGAAATTGGTAGTCCAGAGAAAATATCTGGGCAATGTTCCTTTTAGTGAAACAAGGCGTTCTGTAAACATGGTAAACATAGTTACAAAAAATTTTATAAAAAACTCCAAAGGAAATTCTTTTAATTAAGTCTAGCTGTTAAATAATATTAATCTTTGTTGAAGGGTGTCAGTGTTTTGACGGAATGGTATATATTTACAGAAAGTGAATCCCAGGTCTTAAAAGAATATAGTTTTGCTTCAGTATCTCAAACATCATTCGGCAGGGATGCTAAAGAATAGAATTATATGCAATTTTCATCTTTTTAAAAAAATAATGCTGGTAAGTTATATATTTGTTCAATTCTGCTGCTTTTTTCATTTGAGGAACTGTAACTGCCCGGACGCAGTCAGATAAACCCGGTCAATCAAACAAGGTCCAAAAACACCAGGAAACTGGTAGATCAAATTTATTGCGTTGACACAAGTGGTAAAAGGCTGTAAACAAATACAGAAAACAGAGTTACAAATATGAAGTAAACATAACAAGCAATACTCAATACTGAACTCTATACACAATGTACAGATGCATATTGACTAGTAACCATATACCTGTATGACTAATTGACTGATAAAATGACTTTAAACACAGTATTACATTTAATTAATACACCATGAATATAATCATAGGTACACCTGATATACAAGACTTAAGACTCAACTACCTATAGACTGACGATCGACTTCATAAAATGACAAGACTTTGATATATAAATGCCTAATCCGTTAAACCGCATAAGTTCATATATGAAAAAGACAAATAACTGGACAAATCTATTCAATTCCAATAAAGATTCAATACATATAAGGCATATTTTATCTAACTTTCAATGAATGTAAATTTGGCGCCAAACGATCACTGTAAACAATCATTCGTACACATCATGACAAATAATAGCTAAAAGATCCTACATTATTTCATGTCGTAGTAAATAACCTAGTCTATGAGTAATTTATCATAATCTAATATTCATAAATCACAAGTAAATGAAATATAAACAAGGTAAACTTACATCGTGGCACCGATACATCTGCCAAACAACCACGTTGGCTAAACCGGAAATGTACAAAACACAAAAGAGTGGGCGCACTAATAGCCCAAAAAATACTCATGCGGGGTACACTAAAACCCGTAAAAACATATAAAATCATGAAACAGGTAAAATCGAAATACATGTTACTTGACACTCCCCGTCTGATATTAATAATATCACTCAAATCAAATACAGAACAATGACAATGCAATGTTTAACATCATATCTAAACACACATCAACATCGTGACCAATAACAAGTTCAATCATCATCCTTTCTGCGCAGCAGCACAATGTCACTGGTTGGTCTGGTGTAGATCTTTCTGTCCCTGCCAACACGCACATCAACTTTGCGGACACGATTATCCGAACTCGTATACGCCTTGATGACGATTCCAATAGGCCATTCATTGCGGTAAGTAGACTTCTCGCTAAGTAATACGACGTCACCTTCTTCGAGGTTCCTTGACTCCTGCTTCCACTTCCTGCGAATTTGTAATGTCGGAAGATATTCGTTCCGCCAACGAATCCAGAACTGATCTGCGAGGTGTTGCACACATCTCCACTGTTTCTTGAAGATGTCCTTCCTGTTGAAGTCGTCCAACTGAAATGACCGCACTGTTTGATCCGTCTTCATGGTGAGTAATAAGGATGGTGTCAGTAGACATGGAATCTCAGGGTCATAAGACATGGGTGTAAGGGGTCTCGCATTGATAATGGATGAGACTTCGGCCATGAGCGTTGCCAGCACATCGTGTGTCAGGTTCTTCACATCCAGCAGCAATGAATCGAGAATGCGTCTAGCCACTCCTATCATTCTCTCCCATGCCCCACCCATGTGTGAGGCATGGGGTGGGTTGAAGACCCAGTTGATGCGATGTTCCGAGAGGTACTCTTGTATAGGTCTATCATCTACACTGATGACATTCGCATTCAAGTCTCCAGTAGAACCGACAAAGTTTGTTCCCTGATCAGAATGAATGATCTTCACTTCTCCTCGAATTGCACAAAAACGTCTGAATGCGTTAATAAAACAGGAAGAAGACATTTCTTCTAGCAGTTCGATGTGCACAGCACGCACAACCATACACGTACAGAGAAGTGCCCATCGCTTAGAGTTTACTTCTCCTCCACGAGTCTTGCGGGTAGCAATGGTCCATGGGCCAAAAACATCTATCCCTATGTATGTATATGGGGGTGCGGGGTCTAATCGATCAAAGGGAAGGTCAGCCATTTTCTGTTCCTCACGACAGCCTCTGAGTTTCCTGCATTTCACACAGTGATGAATACATGAGTTGACAAACCGTCGCCCACCAATCAACCAAAATCCTGCCCTCCTGACTGCTGCTTCTGTCATTTGACGCCCTTGATGACTGATCCTTTCATGAAAATGTCTGACAATCAAGACTTAAATGTGGTGCTTCGGTATGATAATAGGGTTTGTCTGTAGCATTGATAACTTTGATTCCTTCAAACGTCCACCAACGCGAAGAAGTCCATTATCGTCCAGATATGGCGAAAGGGCCAGAATACGACTTGACTTGTGGAGAGGTAGTCCATTTCTTAAAGCCACTATTTCTTTTGACAAGAAATGCTCCTGAATAGTTCTTATAATCACATGTTCAGCCTCCTCTGATGTTACACAAATCTGGTTTGATTCTGCTGTCCGTAAGCGAATGAACGTTTTCAAAGTGCGGATTGCTCTTGTTAGGCTTTTCCATGTAGAAAACTGCTCAAAATGGTCAGCCATAGGACGATTCTCCTCTAGAACATTGTCCTTGACATCAGTTTTCATACATCTCACCTCTTTGTCTTCCTTTGGGTTTACTAACAAGTATTCATGCTGATTGTCTTCAATCTCATGAGAAAACGAACCTCTTGGACCATTCAACCACAGACTTTGTTGCAGATTTCCAGCAGATATGGACCTAGTAGCTTCGTCTGCAGGGTTCTGTGTTGTAGGTATATAACCCCACTGGTCAGGACTTGAAGACTTTCTTATCTTGTCGACACGGTTCCTTACGTATGTGTAAAACCGCTTGGTCTCGTTCCCTATATAACCTAAAACAACTTTACTGTCCGTAAAGTATCTCACTTGACGAAATTCCACTCTGAGCTCATCTCTGATAATGTCACTGATTTCTGTCCCTAGTAAGGCGGTGCACAACTCGAGTCGTGGTATAGTGTGACCGTGTTTCGGAGCAACTTTGGCTTTCCCAAGCACGAATCCAAAGTGACGCTGACTGTTGTAAGTGGTGGTAACAACATATGCCACAGCTGCGATAGCTAGTTCAGAAGCATCTGTAAAAATGAATAAGTCACGGTCAGGTGATGACTCTAAAGAGTATGTTCTAGGGATGTTCACTTGTTCGAGAGAGCTTAAGCTGTTCCTCCATAACTGAAACTTTTTGCAGATTTCCTCAGGTAAGGGTTGGTCCCATTCAAGTGGTTGGGCCATGGCTTCGCGCAACAGCAGCTTTCCCTCAATAATCACAGGAGTCGCGAATCCTATAGGGTCATATAGGCCGTTGATTATTGAGAGCACACTGCGTCTTGTGAGTGGTTTGTGATTGGTGTGACTTAAAGTGACGCAAAATGTGAAAGTGTCTTTTTCCAGATTCCAACTTACTCCCAAGCTCCTCTGAATTGGGAGGTCATCACATTCAAAGTTAAGTTCCTTTAAATCTTTTGCGAGATCTTCCTTGTCAAAGGCTCTTAATACTTCACTGGAGTTGGAACATAATTTATGAAGTCGCAGGTTTCCCTCTTCCTGAAGTGCGTATTTAGCTTTCTTTAGAAGTGTTATTGCCTCCTCGACAGATCCATGTGATGAAAGTGCGTCGTCCACATAAAAGTTTTCATAGATGTAATCCTTAACATCTGTTCCAGCGGTTTTCTCTGCTACATCTGCTGTTTTCCTCAAACCAAGTGTTGCCACAGCTGGGCTTGGTCCGTTTCAAAAAACATGCACCTTCATTCTATAATCCACCAAAGGTTTCGTTATGTTATTGTCCTCGTACCATACAAAGCGTAAATAGTCTCTATGAGGAGGGTAAACAAGAAAACTGTAGAACATCTGTTGCAGGTCAGCAATCACTCCAATTTTCCCCAATCGAAACCTAAGTAGAACTCCAACCAAATTGTTCATGAGATTCGGTCCTGTCATGAGGACGTCGTTCAGGGAAATGCCTTGGTATTTCGCAGATGAGTCAAATACCATTCTGATGCGATCTTTCTTTTGCGGGTGGTATACTCCAAATATGGGTAAGTACCAATATTCTCTGTCGAGTTCAAGTGCAGGCGCCCTCTCTGCATGTCCGTCATCCAATAGAGCTTGCATGAATTCAAGGGCATGTTGACACTTTACTGGGTCCTTCTGCAGAGATGCATCAAAGTTCTGAGCTCGGTCAACTGCCTGCTTACGGTTGTTTGGAAGGGTAGTTCTCGAGTACTTAAATGGTAAAGGCGCAACCCAGTTGTGATTTTGATCTCGTTTCATCTCAAGGTCCATGAGATCCAGAAAACGTTGATCCTCTACCGACATGGACGGCTTGTTATCATCCTTCGTTGTTCTGAACAAAGAAGTTTCCTTGGTATAATCTACCTGAAGATAACTGTCACAAGGATCCATGGATGTAGGACGTCCATTGAGCTGGGTATGTGTTTTCATAGTGTTCACGTCATGAGGTATATGTTGACCATCAAGACAAGTCTCCCCAATAATAACCCATCCTAACTTGAGTCTCTGTGCATACGGTTGACCTGGTCGTCCAATTATCTGATCTAGAACATAATGAGCTGAAATTAGGTCACGTCCTATGAGCAAGGAAATTTTAGCTTTAGAGTCCAGTGCAGGTAGGTAGTCAGCAATACACTTGAGGTGTGGATAGTTTTCTGCAACCTCAGGTGTCGGAATTTCACTCCTGTTATTCGGTATCATATCACACTCTGTTAGAGTGGGTAATACGAATCGCTCAGTACCGCACAAAGATGTCACCACAAAGCCTTCTGCCCGCCTACCTGAAGTCACTACTTTCCCAGCACAACTGTTGATTGTATAGTTTTCAGAGTCAGTTCTTATGTTGAAGTGATCTAGTACATCACTACGGATCAAAGATGAATTACTCTGGTCGTCTATGATTGCGTAAACTTTCATAGACCTGGTCTGCGAGTTCACATCGTTCACATGAGAAATTTTCACAAGGACGATCTTTGCACATGACCTAGCAGGTCCTCCTTTACAAATCTCTGTGCAGCTTGAGAACACTTCTGATCTGGGTTGAGATTGCTCCCCGCCGTGAGTCACCACTCCACCATGTCTTGGGGCTGATTGAGTTGTCTTCACTGTAGGTGTGGGGACTCTGAACACATGCATAGCTGTGGAATGTGTAGTCTCGTTACACTCGGCACAATGGATCTTTGCTTGACAGTTCTTTCTGAGATGCTTAGCAGCACAGCAACGAAAGCATATTCCATTTTGTTTTAACAAGGCTTTACGGTCCTCGAATGGCTTATGTCGAAAGGCACGGCACTCGTCCAAAGAGTGGTTGGTTTTGTGTATGATACAAGGAATTGGACCATCGTCACCACTGGTCACAGAACTCACTGCTGTCTTTACTACTGATACTTTTGTCTTTGACGGGGTTCCATATGTGTTACTAATACTGGGATTCATATCAAAGTCAAAGCTTGGATCGTTAAACAGTTCTGCCATGTCATGAACGAAATCACAAAAGTATGTGAAAGGAGGAAACATCACTCCATGAACACGCTTGTAATTAGCAGCACGATCCCGCCACTTATTTTGTAGACTTGGTAGTAACTTGGCGACCGTAGGGTTGATTCCCATGGAAGTATCATATAAGCTCAAAAGAGCCGCATATTCAGGTTTCTCTTTCACTGCCCTTATCTCAGATAGAATGTCAGATAGTTCAAACAGCTTGCCTCTGTCCTTCACAGTCATCCTAGAAACAGAATTGAGTTTCTTCTTGAGCGCCACTTCAACTTTCTCAGGTGAGCCGTAACGACTGTCCAAGCGCTTCCATACTCTGTCGAGAGCTGTCTCGGGTCTTCCTGCGTTTGCCACTTTCAGACTTTGAACTTGCTTTGACGACTCGTCTCCTGTCCAGCGTAGTAATAAGTCAAGTTCTTCTGCCGGCGAAGTGCCTATCTCAGCTGTTACACTCTTAAAGGTATATTTCCAAGAAATGTAGTGCTCTGCTTTATCGTCAAACTTGTGAAGCCTTGCTGTAAGTAGCTCTCTCTTAACAAGATACTTTGCAAAGTCTACACTATGGGCATTGTCTACACATGGAGAAGTGTTTATGCACTGAGAGTTATTCACAAACTGAGTATTGTTCATACTTCCATTTGTTGTCAACGGTCGTTGATCCTGACTAGGAATGAATGGTGAGTCAGGGAGCGCATTCACATACTCCTCGGTTCTTCTTTGTACAGCTTCTTCACAATTGAATACGCTCGTGTTTTCAAGTTCTAAAGCTTCCTCATCGTCCACAGCTTGAAGTTGAGCCATAGCGATGGCGGCCTCCTTCTTCGCTGATAATCCTTTCTCCTGAGCATCCAGTTTTGCTTTCTGTATGATAACGTTCGCTTCATGAGTGGCCTTCTCTTCAAGCAGCTTGGATTCTTCCTCCAGGAATTCCAGTTGTTTCTTTGCTGTTTCTGCTGCTAGTCTTTGTTGTAGACGCACAGAGCTGACTGATGATCTACGTGATGATGTCGAAGGAGCTAAGGTCCTGTTCTTCTGAAGATTACCACTGGTGAGTTCCTCAAGTGAGTCTCGTGTAGAATCCGGCACTTGTAATCTAGAAGCCATGATCGGAAGATGGATCCTTTTACTGTAACTGCCCGGACGCAGTCAGATAAACCCGGTCAATCAAACAAGGTCCAAAAACACCAGGAAACTGGTAGATCAAATTTATTGCGTTGACACAAGTGGTAAAAGGCTGTAAACAAATACAGAAAACAGAGTTACAAATATGAAGTAAACATAACAAGCAATACTCAATACTGAACTCTATACACAATGTACAGATGCATATTGACTAGTAACCATATACCTGTATGACTAATTGACTGATAAAATGACTTTAAACACAGTATTACATTTAATTAATACACCATGAATATAATCATAGGTACACCTGATATACAAGACTTAAGACTCAACTACCTATAGACTGACGATCGACTTCATAAATTGACAAGAATTTGATATATAAATGCCTAATCTGTTAAATTGCTTAAGTTCATATATGAAAAGGCAATTAACTGGACAAATCTATTCAATTCCAATAAAGATTCAATACATATAAGGCATATTTTATCTAACTTTCAATGAATGTAAATTTGGCGCCAAACGATCACTGTAAACAATCATTCGTACACATCATGACAAATAATAGCTAAAAGATCCTACATTATTTCATGTCGTAGTAAATAACCTAGTCTATGAGTAATTTATCATAATCTAATATTCATAAATCACAAGTAAATGAAATATAAACAAGGTAAACTTACATCGTGGCACCGATACATCTGCCAAACAACCACGTTGGCTAAACCGGAAATGTACAAAACACAAAAGAGTGGGCGCACTAATAGCCCAAAAAATACTCATGCGGGGTACACTAAAACCCGTAAAAACATATAAAATCATGAAACAGGTAAAATCGAAATACATGTTACTTGACAGGAACAATTTATATATATCTAATTTAAATTACTTTTCCCCAATGACATCTTCATGCCTACACTAGCTGCAAATCAGAATGAGTATGGTCCAAAATGACTTATATATATATGTAGTACAATCTTGTGTGAATATCATTAGGGGACGACCATTTGATTCTGAGAGGGGGGGGGGGGGCTGGCAGATTTTGGAAATAAATAATCTGTCCCTGAAAATGTTGAAAATAAATAATCTGTCCTCCTCTGCAAAGAAAATAAATAATCTGACCTTGACTTATGATATTTAAATATTGTGAAAATACCTTTTCATTTACGTTCAATTTAACCTCAGAATCTTCAATTCAGCATTTCTTTTGGCTCGCTTCGCTCGCCATTTTAGAACCAAATAGGATTTAATATCAGATTACCAGACTGGATACTTGTAGTCAGTTGATCAGCATGGCAATGTGCACTCAGTAGATATGATGAATCATTTTAAATACAAGCCAATTCTTAAACACCACAAAAGATAAATTTTCTTGTCAAAGAAGTATACTTCCCAATAAATTAATACAAAGTATACAGTGGCGGATTGAAGGAAGGCATACATGTGTATGACTCCTCCCCTAAAATTTCAAAGTATTATATGAATAATATTAATATTGCCATAGTTTAGTACAATACCAATATTTCTGTGCCTTGTTCTACTCGTAAAATACACAAAAACCCAAGAGCTTCAGGGGGCTTCGCCCCCTTGGCCCCCTTCATTCAAAGTATGATATGACTAGTATTAATTATGTCATACTTTGGAACATAACTAACCAATTCCTACATAATTGTGCCTGGTTTTACTCTTAAAATACACAACAACCCACGAGCTTCAGGGGGTTTCACCCCTGGACCCCCTTCATTTAAAGTATGACATGACCAATATTAATTATGTCATACTTTGGTACATAATAACCAATACCACTACATGTATAATTGTCCTGGTTTTATTCTTAAAATACCCGAAAACCCAAGAGATTCTGGGGAATTTCCCTCCCTTGGCCTCCACCAGTGCTTCACCCAGGACCCACTGGGGGCTTTAAGGCGGCCCCAGACCTCTTGCTTGAGCGAAGTTGTACACGTCCCCCCCCCTCCAGAATAGTATATAAATGATTAGTCTTTTAGAATCAATCGATCAAGGTACGTAAGACAAAGAATAAAATAAATAATCTGTCCTCGATAATCTTGAAAATAAACAATCTGTCCTTGACAGGCATGAAAATAAATAATCCGTCTCAAAAAAATTTGCCAGCCCCCCCCCCCCTCCACTCAGAATCAAATGGTCGTCCCCTTATGTAAAGAATTATAATACTTTCACCAGGTGCATCTCTCTTCACAAAAAATAAAACAAAAAAAGAAATAACATTTGAATATATAAAAATTCTGATTTATAAATAACACAACTGATCTACCATATTTGTTGACTATATAGAGCCATTTCGCGTAGCCGTCATTGGACATTTAACTTTGTGTGACTGAGGCTCAATGAAGGATGATCCGATCTTACACAACTATTAATCGCTCATTAATGAAACCAAATTTATTCTACTCATAATATTTGAAACCCTGTTTTTAACTTCACAGTATTTTGAAACAATGACGAACACTTTTAGTATTTTGAAACAAAGTAACATTTATTAGTTCCCCGCTACCTAATCGTGGTCTGCAAGAACCACGTGGAAATTTTCGGATCCTCTTTATAATGTCTAACCTATTTAAAATTGATGTGCACCAGATCACAGTCTTTGCCATACTCAAAATGTATTATTGACACAGGGAACTATGTAAGATATCTGAGATAAGGCTCATAATTCACAATAAACACAAAAAATCGACTTACCAACTCCTACTTTCACTTTAGCCGAATATCGCTTGACAGACATCAGAAATAAACTACGCATAGCGAATATAGTTCTTAATTCCCAATCTTTACCGTCAACTCCTGTTGTCATGTTTTTGCCATCAACATTTATTCGCTATTTGTCTGGTTCTGGAGTGGTTTTAGAACAGCGCGGGTTTGCTAACGCAGCACACGGATCAGAATTCGGCGAATTAACACTTTTTTTTTTTAATAATATGTAACACTAATAAATCGGAAAAGTCATGGATAAAACTTTTGCTATCATTATGCATTCTATAGACTTCAATGGGACTTATACTACAGGAAGCACTTCACCACGACGTCACCACGTGACGTCTATAATTAGAAAAAATGCCTTAATGAAAAAGTGAAAAGTTCAACACTACCCCGGGGATAATTAATTTCAATCTGTAATAATAATTAGTTAAAAACATCTACGTACCATGAAAAGTGCTGCTAGAAACCTACCGTCCCATCACAGAAAAAAACTCAACTCAGCATAATTCTCATTAACTAATTATCAGTGTTACTTGCGTATGTTAATGTAGGTCATTACTGGTACATGCCTGACCAACAAAAACTCTAAAATTGAAAAATCAGAGACAAGATTTTCAGAGCAGCAGAAACAGTAGAATTTGTCACGTAAATCTTATGATATGTACCGTAGTTGAGAATACATGTACTGTAAATGTTGCATATATAAAAAATTTAAAAAGTGAAAAGTTCTCTTGTTTTCAGAATTTATATTTACATGTGAAAAAAAAAGAAAAGGAGATTGATATAGTTGGTGTGATGAGATGTTGGCAGGAACTTAGTAAAATGAAAGGAAGAACTTCCCTAAAATGATACTTGTGGGGGACAGTGTCTCATGGTGGGGGGGGGGGGGGGGGGCATTGTTTCAACTGACTTTACAGAATACAAAAGATCCATTGCAAACCTAATTATTAATTATATGCCAAACACTATGTTTAAAGTTTTCCATTGTTGGATATTTATGTTTAAATCCAAGATAACTTACTCAAGAGGATGGGATTTTTTTTTAAACCAATGTAATTTTTCTCAAGTTTAAAGCCGTGTTTCATAAGTTTTAAAAGAAAAAAATCAGAAGGGGGGGGGGGGGGTAAATTTTTGATTTCATTCAAAGTATCTGTAGTTTGCAGTTGCCCATGGATAAAATAAATAATTATACAAAGTAACAAGTTGAAATGAGTGAAATATTATGAATGTCCTGCTTGTTTTAGTTTCATTTCAGAATTTTTCAAGTTTGACCAAATCTTGAAAAAGTAAGAGCCACAAGGTTTTGCAATTATTTGACATAGCATTACAAAATGCATTATATTTTTGCAACATCATAAAGATGCAAATTTAAGATGCCAAAAAAATTTAGTTCACATTCACATTTAGCTCATTACACAGGTTTTATAAAAGAGTAAATAAGTGTAGTTTTGGGAATATTGTTACGTTAAACGCAGCCATTTTGGTTAAAAATCTGGTATTCCTGTCTCCATGGTAACAAATCTTGCATTCCTGTTTCCATAGTAATAGAGAATGGATAGGGGAAATCTTATTTCATATTAGTTTCAATCTAAGGGGATAGTTTCAGGAAACTTGAAACATGCCCTGGTTAGTCTACATGTACTTCAAAATTGACAATTTTACGGAAAAGGGGGGGGGGGCATTTTGTGCAGGTCTTCACAGTTCTCCTATCTAAGAACATATTTACATGTATTAATGCTCTTGGAAATGGGATGTGAATATTTTTACATGACCTTTCTCCTAGATATGGACTAATTTTACTGTAAATGACATCAAAACAGATAGAAAGGAACATTTCTTTTCTATATGAACTTAATGAAATGTGCATATGTTCCTTGAAATACGGAAATTTTGCAAATTTTGGGTAATTTTTCATCAGCTTTTGAAAAAAAAAATGTTTAAGTGTCCCATAAATATTTTAATGTGTTTAAACTAACCCATGTACCATCTATACAATGCACTCTTTCCTGAATTTCAAATCAGTGTGCAAAGCATTAAAAAATCGCTTTGAAAAAGGGCCTAAAATGGTAATTTTCTCAATTTGGCAAAATGCCAAAATCCCCAAAGCTAAGCGTTGTTAAGCATTATGTAGAATTACAGTTTTTAAACTAGATGCTGTCATGAGACAGTAATACCCGCACTAAGGTGTTTACCTCTAAATACACACTCCTTCACATTGGACTTTCCAAGGAAAAAGTCAAAATATTTCTATAATTATCACCGTACATGCATTCGTCTAATTGAGCATAAAATTTTCACGTGACCATATGATCTATGAGCCTCACATATGTATTTTGTATACTTAATTCATTACCAGTCTGAAATAACAGAATTTAATTAATGAAGTAAATTACTTAATTAGATTCTGATAAATAATTTGCCAATAATTTGGAACTTTTTAAAATTTACTTTCTCAATGTCATGAAATATTAATAGTACAAAGCATTTTTGATAAATTTATCAAAATGTGCAAACTGATTTTAGTACTTGGTCAGAAAAAAAAACCCATTGAAAGTACAACTTGATTAATTTGTCAATGCCTATCCCCCCACCATCACACACACACACTCTCTCTCTCTCACATTTTTTAAAATAGACGTAGATGGCAAAGTTATGTTAAATATCATTTATTATGATAGTTTGAAATTTGTTCTTGTACTAAAAAGTTTTACGTGTGAACATCTTATTTTCTACATTCACATTGGGTTTGCATCACATTATCATATTTTTAGATTTCACCACTCGGCACACCTCGGCCGATTCATAAATTATCTAATGAAGGCGACGGAATCGGCAAAGGTTTGCCGAATGAAATTATTTAGCACATGTATGCTGACGATGCAGTGCGGTCAGTTAAAATCAGTTGTGTTTTAATTGGATTATATGGATTATATTTCATGAATTCGTTGTCTGGACCTATGGCATTCGGTAAGTACATGATTTAGTATAGATTGCATAAAAATAAATATATGCAAATGGTTAGGTTGAAGTTCAAAAAGGGTCAAAGATCATCGCATGCCACAGTCGACAAATTTCACATTGTCAAGTTATCTCCCGTTGTGGACATTCAGTATATCCAGCCGCAGATCCAGATTTTTTTTCCCGAAAGGAGGGGTGTCACACCTCAGTCAAAAAAAAAAAATCCAGCCCAAGATTTCCTGAGAAGCAAATTAAAAATAATAATAAAAACAATGATGGTGGGGTTCCTGTTTTCTAAGAGGGAGGATGTCCAAAGTCATTTTTATTCTCTTCAGTAAATAGTCTTATCTAAATAACTGCAAATTCCGGAGGGGGGGGGTGATCTCCCTAGCCACTGAATCCCTGTACCTGAAATGACAATTGATGTTATGACTCCATAAAAGTAGAAAAAATTTCCATTTTACTATAAAATTATACATATTTTGTTTCCTGTGTTTATGTCTGTTTGTCTGTCCACAGAAACTTTAACCTTGCCCACAAGTTTTAAGTGGATCGGGCTATACAAATGGCTTCAACATTTCATAGGTAAATTTCTTTTGGCAAATTCTTTCAATGGGTAAAACCACTTTTGACCTCTTGACCTTGGAGTTTGACCCACTTTTACAAGAAAAATACCTTAAACTTGGCTTAAGTTTAAACAGGTGGTGCTAGGACTTTCATGCTCTAACATGTGTAATCATTGTGAACTTTCAACAGGTATAAATATTTTTGATTTGACCCTAGAGTTGAACCCAATTTAACTTTAACCTTGGCAATAACTTTTGAACAGGTGAGGAAGTAGTCCGAAGTACTAGGGATTTCTCTCTTATTTCACATGTGTATTCCTTGTGACAAGACTTTCCCTTTGATACCAACAATTTTGACCCTTTGACCTTGACCTTGGAGTTTGACTTACATTTGGGAAACTTCAACCTTTGCCAAAAGCTGCCATAACAGTTGCTGTCACAACAAACAAACAAATTACTCAGAAAAACCCCACAGTATTCATGTACATATTTTATATACAACAGATATACTTCTGATCATATCTCTAGTTCTCCCTTGAATCACACGTGGTGATATATATATTTTAAAAATAATTATTATAAGAGTTGAAAAGGTTGTGCATATTAAAATATACTAAGCTCTGTAGATGAATTAGATATACCTGTTTAGCTTTATTTTGCTACCCAAAGCCCTTTGATTAACTATTTACAAGCATACTGTTTTCTGAAATGTACTGTTTTCTGTCGTCCATCTGTTTGTCTGCAAACTTTTCACATTCTTAATTTCTTAAGAACCACTAGGCCAATTTCAACCAATTTACATGTAAATATGCAGGGGAATTTTTCCAACATAAATCTTCTCAAGAACAGCAATGACATTTATTGTCCCTCATTTTCGCTAAAGCTAGGGGACATTAAATCTCATTTGTTTGTCAGTCTGTCCATCTGTCACAATAAATTTAACCTTGCATTGTCATAATAGTCATATTTTTTGAATGAGAAGAGACAGGACTTTTATATTAAACATGTGTATTAGTATTTAACTGGGACAATACCATTCTAAATACACTATGATTTTTATTACCCATGACCTTGAAGTTTGACCTACTGTCATAAACAAATTAATTGTTTTAAATTGATCATTTTGAAAGAGAAATGAAAGGGCATTCATATTACCTGTGAAAAGACCTTTCCAAATGTATCATGACTTTTTGACTCTGTGACCTTGACCTTGAAGCTTAACTTACTTTTCAATATTGTTGTATTTCCTTTTCATTGAGAAGAGATACGACTTTCACATTTCAAGTGTAAATACCCATAACAAGATGATTCCCAACAATCTTGGGCCAACATGCTATGATTTTTTACCCCTTGACCTTGATGTTTTACCAAATTTCAAAAGAGTGAACTCTCCCAAAAGAGGATTACGCCACTGTGTAAAATGAAATAGGAGTTTAGGGAAGACGGGGCTTTTTGTATAAAAAAAACGTCATTTTTCGACCCCCATTTGA